CATTAAATATCTATTTGTTAAAACAAAGTCTAATCATATATACATAGTTAATATTGAACTTATGATTTCTCTTACGATTTCTCAAATACAATAGCGAATAGGCATTCCAATAACATTTTTATTGAACTTAATCTATAATTGCAATATTACATACTTTGATAAGCATGGGATGAATAAGATATAATATTTTTCTATGTGTTAAAGCAGAGTTGGATATAAATCGCAATAAAATTAAATCGTTAAATACATCTACACTCATTTTTTACTTATTATAACAACATTGTAACAACTTGCCTTGTATATTTACCGTAAATAGAAACGGAGATCAAGAGTGATCGAGGAGCGATTTAAATCCTTGTGTTCTATCAAGTTGGTGAGCATGCCTTTTAACAGTATACGTAAAACTGGCAGTTTGGCACGGGGTTGCGCAAATGCGTCGGTTCTCCCGTGTCTCACGTTGCCCGTTAGCGATCATGAGTAAAATTAGGTTATCAATTACTCATCGCGGTTAATTGTCATCGACAATTAACGAAATTCGTGGATAAATTTTGTTCCCGTTTGTAACGAGTGTTTTGCGTACGTGGCACGGTTCGCCGCCAATCGGAAAACGGGAGTTTCAATAGGCGTGGCTTCGAACACGTACAACTTGACTGCATACATATCCGGCCGCCATAATTCTTTAAGAAGAAATCGCCGTGTGTGAATTCTTGTCGTGATTCTCCTTGTAGGCAAACATACTTAGCGCACTGTTCGTTTTACATTCCTTGCCAGAAGAGATCCACTGAAAACGTTTTCGGTGACCAACGTAAGTTCACCGAGTTTCCTTCTTTTATTGTTTCTCTTTTTTTCAACGAAAAACTAGTACACAATATAAATCATTTCGCCGGTTATACATCGTCTGATCTGTGATTTAACATTCCAAAGCTTGGCTCATCACCGAGTGTCGACGACCCGCTTGTCATCCATATGTCATTTTTATCGCATTTTTCCTTCAAACTTTCACCTAACAAATAACTTTGTTATAAAACACTTAGTGGTATATGTATATATACATATATAATATCTATACACGTACGTTATATGTATACGTATTCGTTTTATGTGCTGCGTTATTACGTACTGTATAAGTTCCGAGAAACGTCTGTTGAAACTTGTCGTTATACGAAGAACAAAATAGTTATTATTTATAGGATTATTCGGTAATACCGTGTTTTAATGAATTAGAAAATATGGGCAAATGTGGTGCGTACATCGCCCATCAGTAACGTCGTACACGCTGAGAGTATTTAGAAAAAACTATCCTTAAAAGATTGCGTTGCATATACCGAAATTAAGTTATAAGAATTTTGTACAATCTTAGACATTACTCATGGATGTTCGATAGTAAAATATTCAATAGCCTCTTGTCGATGAAAAGAATTTTAAATCATTCCTATCTAATGTAAACATTTTAATTTTACAGATAGAGTTAGATAAAATGGATGTTCAAACAGGATTGATATGTGTAGCAGTAGTAGTTGTTTCAGCAGCAGTTATTGCTTTAGTGTCTATGTTTGGTATGAAAGAGAAATCTTACGAAGAGGCTATTGCAGAGCAAAGAAAACTCCCTGATGATCTTTTATTAAGTATGTACTATTATCTTGGAACACAGGTGGTTATGTAAAGATTACATGTTATAAGAGTCACATTAATATTTGTAGATAAGAAAGATAAAGGTAAAGAGAAAAAACATAAAAACAAGGCAGGAAAGAAAGTGAAGGAGAAGAAGGAAGAAAAGGAGGAGAAAGAGGACAAAGAAGAAAAAGCAGAACATGTCCAGTTTGAAGAAAATCCTCAGATTCTACCTTTAGAACCCTTACCAAGGGTAAGTACATATTAAAATGGTACCATCTTCTCTTTTATTTTAAGCTTTATCATTACAAATAGTTTTTGTAAAAATATATTTATTTGAAAAGATGTTCCTAAATAAGATACACAGTTTGTCTTATTTTATAGTAAGATTCAATTGCAATAATCGCGACTTTCCGTAAATATAGAAATACGTTCATGTGCTTTTTTATTCTTATTTTCACACATTTCATGCATGAAATATGGTATGCTCACATATTGTATGTCACACCTGTACGTCATTTAATGTCTTCTATTCATAATGTATCACATTTCTTGCTGGATGTCACCCAATCCATAAAGATTAATTGTAACGCCTTGAAATAACTCAAAAACCTTGTCCAATATATCCTCTTATTTAGTATTTATTCACCATTTTATCTACATCTATATAACATAAATTAACATGAAGTACACTCCTATATCAATGTAAAACTTAAATTAATGTTTTCCCTTTAAGAATAAAATTAAAGATGTAATAACCGAATTTTATATACCTTATATTGAAATGGGCAAAAATTTTGTACCTATGCAATAGACTTGTATAAAAATAATTTCGCATTAGAAGGAAAGGTACGAATTGTTTTATGCTTAAGTGATCGTCATTTGTTATGCACGTAATGGCATTGCGCATTTTTTAAATATGTTTACTTGACAAAAATTTTCTACATAGTATTATCTTTTATTTTGCTCTTAATTTCTATAATTTTTTAAAACTTTGTCTGCTATTGAGAATATGTCTTGGTAAGTCAATTTAAATTATGAAATTAAGACCGTGTTCAATTATACTTTATCTTATATCTGTAACCTCTCAGTAATCGTTTAATGTAGTTGTAAAACAAAAGCTGCAGAATCTTCAAATAAAGCTAAAATAAGGATTAAAAAAAATACTGATCTGATATAGAGCAAATTCAGTGAAGCACAAGTCTGTTTTTCGTATACTGGTTATTGATAAACAGTACCTCAAGATTACTTTCTATAAATAACTATTCCACACATTATGATGTTATATTACTTTTTATCACTACATTATCATATGCAAATTGAATTGAAATAAGGAAAATACATGAACTCATACTGATTCCCATACTCTTCAGAAATATATTTCTCAAAATTGTCCATGTTTAGAAGATAAATAAATTGCTAATGATGCAGCGAATTTATCAATTTCAGGTTTATATGTTTGGCAAGAAATCACAAAAAATACAGTTGTAAGGTGAAGCGTATATCTGTAATATTTTTAAACTAAAGAGTAACACTAGATACTATTTTCTGTTGAATACAAGTTACATTAACGTGCAACATGACTTTAAAGATTTGTAATTGATTCTAATATATATTGCAACAAATTAACTTTGTGTGCCCATTTGAATATAATGTAAAACAACTTTACATACGTTTTTATTAATGTAAAATCACATCTTTATATTTTATATTTATTTTGCTGAATATTTGGGAAACATTTTACATGGTACATTGAAATCATAGGAGGGTAGTAAAGGAAGTAAGAAGAAAAGCAAGCATGAAAAGGTAAAGCCAATTCTTGTAAATAAAGATGAGCCATTGGTTATTGTGACTGAATTAAGTTCTTCACAACCCCTCTTGGCAGAGGCAAATCATTTTGACCTCATTCATCCAAAGGACGACCTCGAACTCATACGGAGTCATAGTGTGAGTGAACTGCTTTTGGTAGTTTTACCTCATGTGCATTTCATTCATTTTTCATATTTTGTACGTCGCTGCCGCTTATTTAACATAAAAGCCATGCAGTTAATGCTTCATCAAATATGTCGATGTTGCGGATTTTTAAATTATTATTAGTTTGATAAACTAATGGTCTTTGAAATAGTTAGAAGTGAAAGACATGTCGTTTGAAACATCGATTCTTCTAAGCATTTTGTTATTTATTTATTTTTGTACTATTTTTATAACTTCGTTAACAAACGTTTCGATGCGTAATTAATTGTTTTGTATTTAACAAGTTAGACTGTTTAAAGTTGACAGTTTCATTATTTTAATATCCTTGTATTCGAACAGAAAGAAAATTTGCAACAGATTGGTCAAGCTGCGCCAGTTGCAAATAAATCTCCGAAAGAAACTCCGACGAAATCGAAGAAAAATGCGAAGGAGTCAGTGAAAAAGAAGGATGAAAATATCAAGGAAGAAAAAAAAGAAACAATTACAAATGCTAATGCAGTGCCAGTTGCTAACAAAGATGTTGCGAAAGAAGTTAAGGAAGAGAAAGAAATTCCCGTTAAAGATGTAAAGGAAGAGAAAGTTACAAAAGAATTGATTACTTCTGCTCCTACTCAGCCACCGAACAAGGAGTCGAAGAAAACGAAGAAGAGGAATGACATCTTGGCACAAATCGGTAAAGTCAACATATTGATCATCTCCTAAAAAATTCGACTGCAAATATCTGTTGAAATTATTCGATAAAAGTACGAGTAAACTATATTTTAAAACAAAACTTTAGTTGAACATGTTTGAATTTTGTAAAGAATTTATTCTGGGAACAGTGGATTCTTGTAAAGCTCTTTGGAATGCAGTTGAAGTAAGGTCAATTCCCCTTCCCTTTGTATGGGTCATTGACCGTTCGGTTCCCATCAAGGTTATTACCGTACAAGGAATAACCCGATGTGGCATTGTTTATTTAAAGATATTCAGTCTCGTTCCTCTAATTATAACTAATGAAATGATTAATGCTTATAAATTATTTTATTAAATATTGTTTTATCAGGCGGCGACAAAGATGCTGTGAACGTGTCCCTGTTAATGCCTCTGGTTCAGAAGGCTGAGCTTAGCCGTTCCGAAATACAAATTCTCATTGACCAACTTCTAAATAAACAGCTGGACAATCCGTCGGAGCATTCGGAATGGACAGAAGGGCGCGCGGATCCGGTCATTAAATTGAAGAAGCAATTGGCGGAAAAAGAGAAAGCCTTGGCCGATGAGCACGAAGCGAACATCGCGTTTCAAAATAAATTGAAAAAATTGCGTACCGAGCTCAACTCCGAGCGATCCCGATTATCAGCTAGCGTGCGACAACTGGAGGAAGCGTTGAATGCCAAGGTCACGGAAACTCAGACTCTACACACACGCATGCAGCATATCCTCGAGAGTCACGCCGCTGAGAAACAAGGATTTACTAGACAGATCGAACAGTTGCAGGCTAAGGTGAACGAAAACGCTGCGATCATTCACAAGATGCAAGAAGATCAGGGACAAACCCAGGGCCACCTGCAACAAGAACTAATAGCGCAACGTAAACAGATGGAGGTTCAATTTGCTCAAATGCGTGAGAACGAGAACGCGTTGAAGTCACAACTGGCTCAGAAACACGTCGAGGCTCAGGAATTGCAAAGCGAGCTGCAGGCGACTTGCGAGAGCAGCACCGCAGAGATAGAAATGTTACGGCAACAGTTGGGCATTATGCAAAATCAGTTGATGCACGCGGAAGGACAACTGCAACATTTCAAAGAGACCGGAGATCGATTGCAAGACGTCGCTAGACAGCTCGAGGAATCTCATCGTACGTACTCCGATGTCGATCACAGATTAAAGAGTGCTCATCGTCACGAGCAGGAACTTCAGAAACAAGTGAACTCTCTGCAGAGCGAATTGAGCGCTGTGAAAGCAGAAGCTAACGATGCATCAGCATTGAAGGCAGAGCTGAGCAAAGCTCAATCCGACGTGATGAAATTGAAATCGGAGTTGTCGGCTTCGATAAACGATACGAAGTCTGAAGCTGAGATTTCAGATCTTAAAATGGCACTCGTTAATAAGGAGGAGGATTTAAAGAAGTGCAAGGAAGAGCTGAATAATTTACGAATCGAATTCAAACAGGCGACGGAAAATATATCGCAGTCGGAGGCACAATTGCAAGCGGCACAGGAAAATCTGAACTCCATAAGAGTCGAATTCGAGAAGGCGAAAGAAAATCTACAAAAAGCACAACACAACGTTAACACTTACAAGGCGAATCAAGAGAAGCTAGAGGAAGAATTGAGGCAAACGCGAAGTGAATTGGAGAAGACGCGTGCGGAACTGAAAACCGTAAATGAAGCTATAAACGAAATGAAAGTGTTGAAAGTTGAAATGAACAGGTTACAGAATAACGAAAAGCAGTTGAGCGACACGCAATTGCAGACTGCACGTTTGCAAGAAGAAAATGATCGACTATCTACACAGGTAGGTGTTTATTTGAAGACAGCAGTAATTGTGAATTCTATTTGACTTAAAATGCGTTTATTACTTTTCAGCTTTCAAGCCTCGTAGAGTTGCAGAAGCAACTTAAACAATTGCAAGAAGAAAACGAATCGTTAGCTTCTCAGTTAGCAGCAACCACGGAACGACCAGCCGCGGAAGGCCGAGAAAATGGAATCGATGATAATGTACAGAAAAATGAAGAGCAGTCGAAATTGTACGTATATATTGTATTGAATAAGTTAATTTTCTTAATATGAAGTCGTCACTTATATCTCAAAGGTTGTTCCAAGCGGAAAGTCAGCTGAACGCTTTAAAAACAGAATTGTCGCATAAAGAGACGGAGTTGAGCCAATTAAATGCCCAGGTTGACGCGTTGCGTAGTGATGTGAACAATCAGCGTAGTCTTGCTGCGCGTTTAAGTTTTGATTTAGAAGCACAAAGGACCAAAAATAATGTAAGTGAAAGGATGCAGAGAAATCTAGTTAATTTTAACACATTTGTCGTACATGTGTTAACATTTGTTAACGTTCAACCCATTTCTACTGCTTCCATCACTTTGCCATCTCTTTCTAAGTTTAAATTTCGACAGATTATTTAGAAATTTATAATCAGCGTAAAATATTTATTCGAAATTATACATAAAATTTATCTCCATTTTTTTATGATCGGAACAGGAGTTGCGTATGAAAAACTGGAAAGTGATGGAAGCTCTTTCGGCTGCCGAGTTGCGTGTTAAATCTGATAATGGGAAAAACTTTGATGTAAGTCCCCATTTTCTTTTTGTTTTTCAAATTTGCGTTGATCGATCGGGTCGTATTGTAAATAAATCGTCTTTATAACTACGTTTATTGAATTCGCTGTACAAGTTCGTTATTGTTTCCTTCTCGTCTCGTTTATTAAACGGTAACGTCTATTGTCAGGAATTCACACAAAAAATAAAAATGGAACAAGAAGAGCAAACAAAAGCCTTGTTACAAAGGATATTCCCGGATATAAAAGTGGCCGAAAAATCCAATGATCAGTGGCTCAAAGCCTTTGAAGAAAAAGTTAATTTGCTATTATCTTCGTTGAAGAAAACGAGCACAGTTGATACGCATTCAGATTTAGAAAAGCAAAACAAGAGCTTGCAAGATATGGTTTCATATTATAAGCAAATTATTGACGATACAGTAAGTCCTCCGCAATACGATGTATTGTTTGCGATGGTTATTTTAAAAAATGGAATGCATATTTTAGTTAAACTTATCGATAACATATTTGTAGGAAGGTATGCTTAATAAGCTTCAAAGTCATGTAGAGTCTGAAGAAGCGAGATGGGAGGCCCAGCTACGACAGAAAGAAGGCGAAGTAGCGAATCTTAGAATTGAATTGAATGAACTCAGGAATAAATTAAACACAAATAAAACGGTAAACAGGGAATACTCTAAGACGATAGATGAAGAACGTTCGATAACATAAGAAATTAATTTCTTTATGTTTTTATAGTTACACAAGATAGGAGAATCAGAAGCGAGACTAAAGGATAATGAATCTCTTAAGAATCAAACCAATGTCGAATCATTAGCACTTAAATCAGTTCCGAGTGAAATGAGCACGAACGATGTTAGAAAAATGTTAGAAAAACTTGAAGAGGTATAAATCCGTTTCTAAATGAATATATCTCGAACATTGAATAATGTATAACGTATTTAATGTTATGACTACAGGAGAAAGTACGATTATCGGAAGAACTTCAATTAGAGTCTAATAAGAGATCAGCGGCAGACGAAGAATTAGAAAAGCTGAGATGTGTAGTTACACAGCTCTATCAACAAATGTCATTGCTTAAGGTATGACAGATATATTGTGAATAAATCCTATCGATATCCTTGGAAAATGGATATTATAAGAATGTTCTGTTAATTTTAGGGTGAAGTTTATGGAGGCTGTAGCAGTTCAGAACAGCCGGTATTAAATGGGCCGCCAGCTTCTTCTGAGTGCTCTAATTCTGAGGTCAGTATACGTTGATTCTAGCGTTGCATAAGTGTCTTAATTAATTTTCGCTTCGTGCCTTTGTATAAAAACGTTACGAAGCTTTATCGTTATAGCTGCAACGATGTAAGTTATGGCTATAATAAAATGTGAAAAGCTATCTAAGCCTGTGACATTTCAATGTGACGTTTTAATTATAACAAATTTGTGAAGACTAATTACTAACAATTATTTTCATTTTACTTTCATTGCACTACATGTGATAATTATACGATATCATTTTTTGTATGTACATAGATATTTTGAATTATTTTTAAAAATACTTTTTAATCGTGTGGTAAAAGGAATTTGATAAATTTCGACTAATAGTTCGAGTACGTAGAGACGTTAATAATGATGTATATGAAACGCAGTCTTTGCTAGAAGAACAGACTCTGATAGCTGCGTTAGAACCTATTCCGCTCAAGGGTAGAGAGTTCGAAAATTGCCCCGTAATCAAGCCCGTCGGTCTGGCTCGGTCTCAACAAGAAATTGACAACAGCAACCTTACCACAAAATACTCGTCGAAATCTTGTCACACGACAGATCACAATACACAGGCTAGCTGGAATCCATTGATGGGCCAGCAGTATAAAAAAAACAAGAAAAAAAGGAAGGTAAACTTGAAAATTGTGGAGAACGAAAAAATCCATGACGAATAAATAATTTAATTGCCGGCTCCTGCAGATAGAATTATATGTACATACAATTTTTGTCCCTTCGTCCCAGTGTTTGATTCATAGAAAATAAAATAGCATCGAATGAAATTTGTCTAATAGTAGCGGCAGATCGTCACGACTCTATGATTAATAAGAAAATTTGTTTTCACGTACGAGGTCTCTTTCTATAACGGTGAATAACAATTTTGTTACTTTTTATTGTTCTAACAGTCCACTAAGAAACCCATGGCAAAACGGCGCAGATTCGCAGGTATGCTAATCAAAGTACGAGATTCTGGAATTTTTCGACAGGGTTGATAGCAGATCGGCTATCAGCGATTTATACGATATGAGATCTTTATTTCATTGTATTATTCATTTTTATTGCACACATTATATTTTTATAGCATTAAATCGGTATCTTCTTCATTTAATGGGCACTAGTTCTTTATTCGCTTGCAATTAAATGATCAAACGATAAGAATATTACGAAAGGAACTTATTTTCTAATATTAATCTGGATTTATATTTAGTTTATACGTAGTAGAGTTACACTTGTACATATTTCATTTAGAAAATTTGAAAAGATCTACTATAATTTTTGTTACTCTTAAGTTTCGAATTATTATGTGTGTGTCCCCAGAAAAAAGAACATGTCGCACAGTGTTTTAGAACTTATTAGCTTTATAGCTTTTATTTCATTATTAGCGAACGCATTCTGAATGTCTTTCATCATGTTTATCCCAGCATATGTACCAAGGGTGATTGTTTTTATACATATACACTTCTAGTTCCATGCTACTTGTAAAGCATATTATTTATACCAGAACTTTAATCATTTCTAGTGTATATCGATTAGTTAGATGGATAGTGAAAAAGCTAACTAGATTGTTTAATATTTCACTTGTAGAAAATGCAATATCCTTTCTATAAAATATATAAAACTTTTGTACAACGGTGAACAAAAGTTTCTAACATAGCCGGTGCGGAAAGAGGAGTGATGGATGGATGATGGGTAATCGAAAGAATATTTTGGCTACATATGGATGTCAATTTTTATGAATACAAACACTGGGGTAAAGGGCACACTATAAAGAAATTTTATGTTTGCTCTTTAATTGTTTAAATGATTTCTTTTTTTTTTATTAATTTCCAGCTTTTCATTATTCATTTTCATTTCTGTACATTTGCGTTGCTTTTCGTTTAATTAATTTCTTTTACAGATGGTACGCACATTGTCGGACATAACACACTTATATGTATTTGTTTTAATGGTCATAATACTTACAATTAGTAAGAAGCTAAGATAAATTGTCTCTATATTCAAATTCACGCTGTTTTATTTAATGTAAAATGAAAGTTTAAAAATCTCAATTTCTTAATCTTTTCGTGAAATCAAACATGTTTTCATTGATTGTTATAAAGTATGTTTCGTTTGCTATGTGTCTGTGTAAGCCTCACATGTGCAATCGATATTGTACTAACATGTAAAATTCAAGTATTGCTTCTACGTACGGTGACGGATTCCATCCCACATAATCAATCGTGTAAAGCACGCAATTCTTACAGTAGATGTAATATGCCATTCTATTTTTATACACGCTCACGAGCTACAAATTGATAGTATTAGTGAAAATTGTCAATTTTGTATTAACGAAGATAATTATTTTTATCAATATAGCTTTCCGTTCGGACGTGGAGCAAAATGTTTAATTTGTTTTAATGCGTTTTCTAGGGTGGTTCAAGAAAAAAATAACTTCGAAGAACAAGCTGCACTAATACAGCACCAATCCGGACAGTTGATGAAAGGAATAAAAGTGAAATCACATAATGCTCTAACATTACATAAAACCACCAATGATGAATTTTGCTATACCGAGAAGACTAATATA